GCTGAGTGAATTGGGATTGAATGGATGAATTAGGTTTCACATTCTCATATTGCGAATGTTGATCGAACCACATATGACGCGAGCCGTTGATTACCGAGAATTCTAGGTATGAAAGGTTTGTACTAGTGGACAGTTATCGTGCATAAAGGCTTGTTGTTGGTGATGTCATCTTAAGAATCAATTGCTAGCAGATTCGTTCGCACTGTTCATAATGTCATTATTTCAGCAGCGTGACGCCTACCTGCCAATAGCAGAGTTCGCGAGTGCATTGTACTTTGCCATTTGCGATTTACATGCACACAATCACATGTATGACTTCAGCGTGAATGCGATCATCAATCTGTTCACTAAAACAATAGTCAAGCATGGTCAAGTAAGTTGGCTGAAAATTATTGATCAAACCCATTTAAATGCTGCCAATAGCTTCCAGTTTCACATGATCATTTCAGCACCCATAAAATCATTCATCTGAGAGTCACCGAACTCTTGGTGCTATCCATTTAAGATATCTCAGGAGTCATCTCAAGCATTGCTCAAATGATCGCAAAGAGAGTGAATGAACTCTCAGCATCTCTTAATCACCTCAGCATCTGCAATCTTTTTGTTGCAATGACCTCAAATTTTCACGTCTTCGAGACTCTGACCATGTGATTGAATCATTATTTAACAATATTGTAAACTCGTGACTGTAACAGCACTAAGAAACGAATACAAACTGGTTTGGTTTATTGCAGAATTCGTCGAACAGCTCTTCACGATTTGAGAAGCTGAAGAGAGCCCTGCAGAATACCGTTTTTGAATATATTTCGAGATCGCTGTTCAAAAAAGACCGTTTGATGTTCTCACTTAACTTCATCCACTCAACACAACCGAACCTTTTCCAAAAGAATGTTCGTCTCATTAATTCGGCAGTCGTTCAATACCATTATACAATCGTCATTTGTTGAATTGATAATCAAAATAAGATTTCAAACTTGATCGCTTTACCGTTTGAAATTTTGTCGTTGGTATTAATGTGAAATTATCTTTCGGATTTGAATATTTCTGCTTCGATTTCCTTTCTAGTACACTTTTGAGCAGATCTGTTGGCTGATTGAAAAGTAATTCTTCTCGTGAACAGATTCGTCGTATCGACAAACTGTGCTGTGTAAATGAAAACTGAATTTGTGATATCAAATTGAGGAATGGGAAATTTTCACTGGTTCAATTGTTAGCGAGTCTCGAGACGAACCTTCACTCAAACAGATCACATGGATTGAAAACGACCGGAAAGGTGCTGTGGCTAAAATCCAGGTATAGTTCCAGCTAGAATCCTTTTCATCATACGTTGACTTCGATTCAAACTTGAATTTATAAGAAACAGAAGTGCGATGCACAAATTTAGTGAATCTCATTAATCTGAACCGTCATTTTCAGAGCCATTTACCAACTCTCTACAATAATTTGCGATTGAGCGATCAAGGAACATGGAGTGAATTTGCACGATCGCCAAACTGTGAAACTGTTTTTCCTTCCACGATTGATTCACTCATAACACCCTTCCAGAAAGTGATCCTGATCCAGGCGATTCGGCCCGACAGACTTTACACGGCCATGACTCTTTTCGCCACGAAGGCCCTAGGTTCTGATCAGATTTAACAGAAATCGTTCGATTTGATTAAATTCACCGCTCTTATAAACACAATTCATGTC